GTTTGTTTTTGTGTTTTTATTTCATTTTGATCTGATACAATTTGAGTAGAATCTGTTTTTCTAATTCGAAATAAAAATTCAATTTTGAGATAAATATTTTTGAGAGATAAAAAACGTTTTTTTTTGTTTTGTTTCAGAAGTATATCAAAAAGTCAAAGTTTGGATAATAAAATTAATTGGTTTAATTTTTTGTTTTTTAACTTTTAGCTTGTTGTTTACTAGCTGTTCTTATTAGGTATTAGTGCCTCTACTTAAGATAAATTAAATCAGCCGCAAACTCAAATTAGTATAACGTAGTCACTTCTTTAATTTTCAATATAATTAAACGATTATTTGTATCATTCAATTGGGCAAACATTTCTACGCTAAGAAAAATAACAAACTTATATGTTTACATAAAAAATGCTTAGCAAAAAAAAGAAAAAGAAAATTCTTCATTTGTCTGAAGAAGTTGTTCGAATTAGTAATATTAGCCGTATAAAATGTAACTTAGAAATACGTTTTCTTTTTCTTTTTCCTAAACTTAGACGAGTATGCTCTTTAATTAATCTGACTAATAAATTATATCTAAGAAAGCGCTTTTTTTTTCTAGTTTTCTTCAACTAACACAACTATGCCTTTTAATCTGTTTCATTATTTATGATTCTTCAAAGTTTTTTCTTTTTCTTATTTTTCTAGATTTAGGAGAGGATATCTTTAAATCTGATTCATACTTTGTAATTTGTGAAATCTTTTTTTAATTTTTAATATAAACCTACAGAAATATATTTGTTAAGCTAAATTATTTTCGAATTAATATTTTTCCCTGGAATTTCAATGACTCAAGCAAATCAATGAAAATTTAAAGAAACCCTCTGCAATTTGTAGTTAAAAGTGTTCTCGATCTCTTTTATAGTTTATGATCAAAACCAATATATTAGTTAATAACGACGAGTAGTCATTGAAAGGTCACCAAGAAAATCAACTCACAGTGATATTTATTCGTTAGAAAATCAATAAAATCATGTGTAACTCTACGATAAGATATAAAGTTTTGATCGTAAACAGTTTCTGTTCGTTTTGGATTTATTTAGCATTAAACCTCAGTTATAACCAACTTTTAACACAATGAAGAATATATTGCTTATTGATCTGAAAATATCATTAGAAAAAAATACTAAATCAAAAAACGAACATAGAAAATATTTGAAAGCATTTATATTAATAGTGCTTGTATTAAACAGTTGTAGCTACACATTATCTAATATTATATAGAATAGAAACAATCATAATACAATTTTAGACTTGTATTTCAAAAACTTTTTGACATTTGAAGTATTTATAGTATCGAATTAACGTTAATTAACAAAGTTGACACTTCGGCATTAATAATTGATGAAGTTACTTTAATTCAACTAAATATAAAATATTTACTAATTAATTTATGATATTCAAACAAAAATAAACACTTAATTATTTATTTTTTATTTTAAATATATACGTATATTTTTTTATTTTATACAAATAACCAAAGAGGAAATTATTCAAAAATAAAATAAAATATTACTTTATTGTTAATACTTTATATAATTATAGATCTATTTTGAAAATATTAAAGTCTGTAACTAATGAAAGAGATCTATAAAATACAATACTTTAATTAAAGCAGAACTTTAACTTGATATCAATGAGAAAAAAACTACATATAAGTACTAATTAAATGCTCACCAGACTCAGACTTGTACTAAGCCAAACAAAAACTTCACCTAATTGGTACATGTCAGACATGCATCATATGAATAGTCATACATAAAGTAGTAAAAGCAACTGACAACCTTAGAACGTGATCGGCAAGATGTTAGAAGGATTTAGCTTTTTTGAGATTTATTGTATACAGAATATTCAAACACGCGGATCTATCTTTTACAATATATAACATATCTCGACTGCACTAGAGCCAAACCGCAGTTCGAAGCTGGCGGCAGTCTGTATCTTTAGCTGACTTTTTTACCATGATCTTTCTTTTCTTTCAGTTAGAAATTTCATTTATAATCTTGTATTTATTGTCACAATGCATACCGAGATTCACAAAAGAAAATAGAAAATATTCCAGAGTTAAATATATTATGAGAGCTGTTCTAATTGTATAGATTAGTTACAGACGTTAGTATTATAAAAATAGATCTATAATCACATAAAATATTAACAAAAAAGTAATATTTGATTTTTCTAAATAATTTCTTCTTTGGTTATTCATATAAAATAAAATATGCATATTTAACGAAGTTGTAGCTTCACCGATCAGTATGTACGACACATATGAACAACATGATTTCACATTAACAAAGAAACTATTCTAACAGACACCCGTCATTTGAGCGCATATCGAGCCCAAAAGTTGATTTCAGTTAGATTAGTAAAAGTCTAAAATGGTTTACCCTCATCGGTCTTTGGCAAGGTATGTTTACCGATTTACTGTGTTTTCGACTCATTTACAGATAGTTCCTGAAAAATTCAATCATGAAATTCTAATCTAAGATTTTGACTATAAATAGATTTAATCACTCTTAGATTATCTTGAATGTTTCAACTGAAAAGAATATTCCTTCGTCAAAATATTTAATTTTTAAGAAAAATCATTTGTCTCAGACATGTCATAAAATCGAATTTACTTGAAAAATCAATAACTCAACGAAGAAATAATCTTTTCGGCTCAAACTTTTGGAATATTTTAAGAGATAATATACGTATTTATGAGCAAAATTTAGAATCACTATTCCATTATTTGGCTTTTTTGGAGAAGTATCTCAAAATGGGTCGAAAATCTAGTATACCGGTCATAACGTGGGGTCAAAAGCACATAGGGACGAAAACTTTTAGGCTTTTGCTAGCCTCATTGAAATTCGCTTGTGAAGTTAATATGAACTGAGACAGCGAACGCCATTTGCAATAGTTTCTTGTTGAATATAGTCAACAAACAACACATCGAAACATATATTCACGACATTAGATATGATTAAGAATTCAAGGAAAAAAGGAAAGGAAAGAATTTTTAGTGTGACAGTAGATCACATGCTCCCCATTTGAACGCATTTATATTTTTGTGTTTTTACTTTAATATCTCGGTGAAACATCAAATAAATGAACTAAAATTTACTCACCAAGTAGGCGTATATCTGCTCTATCTATTCATGAAAAAATTTTATATCAAGATTGAGAAATAATTCAGATATAAACGGTAGAATGAAATCGATTGATCTTCCTATTAATAAATGTAATGTTCCCCATTAGAGCATCAATACAAAAGTGTTGCATTAAATTAGAACGCACAAGTGTAGCTGTACAGAAGAATAAACAATAATTTGAAATTTCTCTACTATCTCATCTCAAAATTGATTTTTTATTCTGAAACAAAAGTTGTTCACCAATAATTAAGCTTATTATCCATCATAAGAAACTTATTGAATTCTTTTTTTGATCAAATCAGTTTCTTCTTCTTTTCTTTTTTTTTTTTATTAAGGATTAATTTTTTTTATACAATTGTGTGGTGTTACACTATTTTCACCTCGATACATTATTCAATAGAACCCTTTTCATCACTTAATACATTTTATTTAAACAAGAAAATATACCACAATATGTCGTGTGAAAAGCTGTTTAAGTTCCAAAGAAAAGTTTATTTGATTTGTACACTTTTTCTTTTCAAAATGATCGAAACTCCGTTCGATCAGGTTAATATATTGCAAACAAGATCATTAGTTTTTTTATATAAGGAATTTCTTTTCTTATTTCATCCATTAGTGAACTATACTTGTTAACTTTGTCACAATGCATTTTATCGGTGATAGCTTCTTATATATAACAATGTAAAACATTGAGATCAATAACGGTTCGGTGGCACTCTATTATTCTATATAAAACTCATGAAATTCTCTTCACATGATGTCAATTATTCTCTTCTGTGTGTATACTGCGTGTCGTTATCTTGTTGATAGATTAAATCGTCATTCGACAGTCATTTACCTTGAGCTTGCGCATATAGAAGAATAACTCTAATATAATTTTCGTGTGAGAATATTTTTCTTCGAGTTCAAATATAATTTGAAAGTTAATGCCGTCTTTAGAAGAACTTAACCATATCAATATTCTCTTTTGATATTTCGTCTATTGATTTATGATCCACTATGTGTCTACTTTCTGTCGACTCACAGTATGAATACGTTCTCATGCAAAGTATTTTGTATTAGTGTATAAACTTAATTATTGGTGAAAACCTTGTCAAATCAAACTAAGTCGTTGATATATAATTATAGAGAAAATTGAGACAAACAACTTTCGTTTCAGGTTAAAGAGTCAATTTTGAGATAAGATAATAGATAGATTTCAAATTTATATAACATAAAATAATTAACATGGATTTCATATACGTTTGTTGTAATTTAATAGAGTATAATTAATTGAAATGTTTTATAATGAAATTGATCAAGATTATTTTGAGTATATCTAATCAATGGAGGAACATATTCAATTGAAACTTTCCAAAATTATAGAGAAATATGAATAAGTTTTCAAGAGAATATGGAACGAACTTCAAACATTGTTTATTTTTGTGTATAGCTACACTTGTGCGTTCTAATTTGCTGCAAGTTTTATATTAATGATCTTATGAGAAATCTTGTACTTATTTATAAGAAGATCAATCGATTACATTCTACCTCTTACATCTCGAGTATTTATTAATCTTGATTAAAAATTCTTTCATGAAAAAAACAGACAAGACATATGTCTACTTAATCAATAAATTTAACTTCATTTACTCGATGTTTCACAGAAATATTAGAATGAAAACACAACAATATAAGAAGTTCCTTCTAATAAGTAACATGTATTCTATCTTTATATTCTAAAAGCATCTTGTAATCAACATGAGCATTTTTTTCTTCTATTCTCTCTTTGTTTTTATAGAAAGTCTATAGAAAATATAATTGTCAGAAAAGTTCACTACGTTTTCTGTGTACAACATGGAGTATCTCAGTCGTGATGCACGTCAAATAATGATTGTAGCTGGTACAATCATGTTTTTACTTGGTTCAATTGGAAATATTTTAAATATTTATGTATTTGCAATATGGTCTCGTTCTCGAACAGCACTAGCTGAGCGTCATGCTGTTAGTGAAACAAATAATGGTCCATTATATTTACTTGTATCATCTATAGCCAATTTAATCGTAATTCTTTATCCATTTTTAACTCGAATTATATTTGATGGTTATAATTATTTAGTAACACCAAATACTGGTTTATTTTTATGTAAATTACGATTTTATACTTTACATACATTTGATTTAATATCATTAACATCTTTTTGTATGGCTACATTTGATCGATATTTAATAACAGCACGAGATGTTCATATACGTCGTATGAGTACAACAAGACAGCGAACAAAACAAATTATTTTAGCTATTGTTATTATATTTAGTTTACATAATATACCTATTGCTGTTTATTTTCAAGTTTCACAAACTGGTCATTGTGACATAAGTTCAAATGGATATTCACGTTATTATTTATATGTATGTCAAGTATTATTTCATGGTATACTACCTATTATATTTCTTTCAATATTTGGTCCATTAACATTAAAGCATTTGAAAAAACTTCAATGTCGAACACATATTCATCATCATTCAAAGCATGATAAACAATTATCTTTTATGCTTTTCTTAATGTCTTTTACAATCGTAATGTCATCAATTCCATATTGTATTGAACAGGTTTATTATGATATATTTTCGAGTTATGATCCTGAAAAATCATCTCTGGTTTTCCTTTTACATGTTATTTCTACAATTTTATTTTATACACATTCAGTATCAAGTTTTTATGTTTATTTTATTTCAACAAAGAAATTTCGTCATCAAATACAAAAATTAATTCGATGTAATAGACATAATCGTGTTTTGTTTCATAACCATATACAAGCAATAACAATTCCACATAATATTCATTAATAAATTTTAAATTAAAAAAAAAATCATATCAAATTATTTTAATACCGTTTTATTTTCTTGTTGAAATAAATTTTAGTGATTATAAAAGTATTGTTACTGGAATTAAATTAATCTAAAAATAAACGAAGATCAAAGATAAGAAGAATCTTTTTTTTGTTATTTAACCGCACGCATAATGCTATTGACTAATCAACGGAAAACGGAAAAGATCTGCATGAATTGTTTTCTTTTCATCATATTCATATGCATCATAAATATACAAAGTAGATTCTAAATAGATCTTAATCAGAAAAATGTCATGACTGTTCAGTTCAGATATTCTCACCCTGTTCATGCATAATGTCTAACGAAAGAAGCAGGTGTCGAACATATGTTAGTGCTCGTTATTAATTTAATCATTATGCTTTATATATATATACTGGAATAGTGCAAAGGTTCCTTTAATATTTTCATTGGAAGACTTTCAACTTTATTTGTGAACGCATGTCTGCATATGTTTATTACTCATCAAATAAAGAATTTCCGATTAAGCACAATGAGATAAAGGCCAATAGGACAAGCAGATTGTAATCCAATGTATTTACTTTTTTTATAAATGTACTTAAAAACGAATATCTTAAGTATTTTCAACATTCGAAAATTATTGTGCTTTCCAAAAAAAAAATATAATCATTAAGTAATTATAAATGCCAGAAATACTCTTTAAAAAATTTCTATAGAGATGAAGACGCGATGAACTCTCAAAATAAAAGACAATTAAAAAGTATAACAGGAACAAACAGAATATAGAAATATTCAAGGGTCAATATCTTCTTGCTAATAGCAAAATAGATGATAGTTATTGAGAAAATATATGAGTTGAACACAACTTAAAAGTCTATTCATTTTATTTATGTTTTACTACCGATACAAGAAAAGTCTCATTTTATGATAAATAAAAAAAACAAAAATATAGTGTCGATTATAAGTAAAAAGTTATAGAAATGGTCACTAGGATACATCTGCTAATAATATGAATTAGAGTACTGCGGGACAGTCCCAAATCTCGAAAAATCCCGTTTGTTCCGTCCCTTGGGACAATCGGGATTGTCCCGAAAATTTTTCGGGACGGGACAAACGGGATCGGGACAATATAGAAAAACCCTATGTTCCGAATTTTTTATCCCTATATGAAATAGTCTAGTATTTATTTGAGCAATAAAAATATTGAAATGAGCAATAATTGAAATATAATCTAGCAATAATTTTCAAGCAATAAAAAAAATTTATTTGAGCAGTTTTATACTACTAAACGTACAATAATTAATTCATTAAATAGCAATAGTCATTTCATATTTTAGGAATAGAAAAAAGAGAAACTACATTCTTGTCAGTTACAATTGACAATAAAAAAAAAAGAAAAATGAAAACGGAGTATATTATTATGTCAATAAAGCTTTTTTTTTTACTTTAGATGGTCTGTGTCTTTTTCTTTTTTTATTTGTTTTCTCATTTTTTGNAATGTCATCAAGTTGTAAATAGTTTTACTTTCGGCAAGCCGGTAAATGTTTGAACTAGACATAAAAGATTCTTATTTTAGAAGAAAGGATGTCTATCAGGGAATGTAAATCAAAATTCACTAGCAGACTATACCTATTCTATTACCTGAGGAAAGAAATACGGAACAGAAAGCCTTCAATAAAGTTTTAATTCTCTCAGTTTTTAGATCCTCTCAACGATGAGCATGCATAACATAATATATTGTTTTCCGTTTAGTTTCAGAAGAAGATAAAATCATGTTAGGTCGACATCCAGCTTGTTGAAGCTTCATTTTTCATAATTTCCAACCTTCATTTTATTTCATTCGAAACTATTATGTTATATTCTCTACCAGGATTAGAAACTCTTCTGATTTATCAAGACTGCCACAAAATTGGCTGTTATTTGGCTTTTGGTGCCTAAATTATCAAAGAAATTCGATGTTTCATTTAGAAATTACTTATATTCTACACCTCTACATTATTTTCTTAGAGCAATGGTTTTAGAAATGTTAATTGAATGGAGTTGCATCTGATATGTATGAACATGAGCAATAATTTCAGTATTTTTCACATATCCACATTAATTAATTCACGGATCTTCATTCGATTCCCACGGGATTTTTGGGATTGCCGGGATTTCCATGGGATTGCAGGGATTTCTATGAGATTGCCGGGACTTCTATGGGATTGCCGGGATTTCTAGAGATTGTCAGGATTTTCTTGGGATTGGCAATCCGCCGATTCCCCCTTGGATAAAGATGTTTTTAACTTACAAGATGTTCTCATTTCTAAGTAACGGCAAAAAACATTTGATGAAAAACATCAGATATCTTGTAGGATAACTTTAAAACAGCTGAGATGCACTTGAGCTTATTCTAATGAAATACATGTCTTCGAATTGAGCCGTTTTATTTTTACAATTATGAAATAAATCCATATTTTTGTGTCACATAAAAAAAAGTGTGTCAAAAATATATTACTCAGCTCAAAAATCTTTCAATTGAATATATTAAAGCATCTATGATAAAATTATCATCAATTTATTAAAAATGTACAAGTTCATAGGTTAAATTGGTTTCGTTACATAATAAAATTTTGCCTTGTTATTTCTAAGTCTAATCATCATAATGGTCCATGTATTCGCAGGAAGCTTGTCTTTTCAAATAACTTTGATGATGACAGCCATGATAAATCAGTTCTTCGTCCACGTTCTCTTCTTGTAGCTTATTGTGCATATTTTCAGCCATTCGAATTAAAGTCCGAATCATGCCCTTCTCATCATCAAGACTCTCGACATCTTTGAGTAGTGTTATTTGTTGCGTCAACAGGTCAGTGGCATTTTGTAACTCGCCTTTCTTGACTAATTCAGCAATTCTTGAATCCATATCAGCAGCCATCTGAATGGCATACATGGTCTTCACCCGAGGATCAATCAATGTGACAAGCGATTCGTCTTCTACGACCTTCAGCGCAAGAGTACCTTTGATCACGATTGGCTCACTAGCAAGATCATCAGGTCGATTATATCGCAATTCGTAGGCAAGTGTCTCAATGTCACTTCCATCTCCATTTGCTGTTCCAGCAACGTTAAAATCGCACAAAATGGATCTTAGATTATCACTATGAAGATCACCAAGATTGGCACCCGCAACAATATTTTCATGACCCCATATTTTAGTTACAATAGCACCATTTCTGCCGCGTATAATAAGACGAGCCTGAGATCCACAGACGTTAAACACGCTCATAAGAGCTTTGGTTACCAATGACTCAATAACTTGGGCAGACTCAAGGAAAAAAAATTTGGCGCCGCCCGTATCAGCAATACCTTTCATGATTTCAGCATCAAAATCGGCACCAATACCAAATGAATCGGTGATTATTCCTTTGCTATTGTATCCAGCGACGAGATTGGTCAGTTCAGCTCGTGTTTTCAATCCAACATTAGCTTGTCCATCGGAAAAAATGAACATACGACGTGAATATCCTGAATACGGATACTTATCAAGCAAACGAGCTCCAGTTTCAATGCCACCAGAAAGATTAGTCGAGCCAGCCGTCTTTATCTGATCAACAAGTAGATGAAGCAATTGACGAGTAGATGCTCGTGCATTTTCAAATATGATAGAGACATCCGTATCATAGGCGACCAAATGAACAACATCATCGTCATGGAGTAGATTAAGTACAGAACAGACTGCTCTTTTTGCGAAAGTTAATTTGTTACCACTTTCCATTGAACCACTACGATCGAGAATGAGGACCAGATTGAGAGGTGTACGTTGACTTTTTGTGTCATTACTTTTCGTTTCGATATCGAAACGTGCTCTCTTTGAATTTAAAACACCAGCAATAGCATGAACATTGTCTGGCGTACACCGAATGGTTACTGTCGCCAATTCATTTTTGGTAGCCATCTTAAGTGTTCGATTAAATGATAATTCTACAACAAAAAGAGAAAGAAATGAATATAATATTCATCATTTGAACATATAATAAACATAGGTAAACGACGTTCTCTTTTGGTCACATATTCCAGTAGACACAAATATAATTTCATTTTCTATGTAGGTCTTCAACAACTAACATGTTTCTATTCTCTTCGTATACTCTTACAAATGAATTCAGCAGATTATTTCAGTATTCTCAACAACGATATATTTATTTCTTTGATAAGCAAAGACGATCAGAATAGTCAAATCCAATCAGTTTTGAATGACTTCAATGATAGTTCCATTACCTTAACTGTTGTTTTTTTTAATTTCTATACCTCATACTTGATTCGAAATCTTTTTCACTTATTTCATGCGACTAGATGTGACAATTGAAACTTTCAATAATAGAAAAATAAACTGTAAGAACAAACTACCTGTAAGAAAAATAAACGACAAATGAATAGTTGGTGCATGTTGTCAGTATTTATATGTGTGTATGACAACATGCGTTAGCATAGTGGTGCAATACTTGCTTTTAAAATTGAGTCATTACCGGCAAATAGATGTTTGAGTCATGCATATATTGTTGTTCTCGACCATATACCAAATTAGAAAACTGAGTAGAGAAAACGTAGCGATGATTCATTGAAGAACAACAAATCGTTCTTTCACAATTTGGCAGCAATTTGTGGGTGAACGCAAACGAGAAAAAATTTTAACATTTCGGATATTTCGAGAGTACTTTTTTTCCTTAACTTTCTCGAATACTGTGTCTCTTTGCATTTCTATTAGAAGTTGAACACAAATGTGTTTGTGAAAATGCTCAGAATACCGTATGTCCTCTCAAGAAATGACGATCACTAACTTTAATAAATACCGAATGTCGATGAAAATCAGCGTTCCAGAACGAAAACCATTATTTAGATTATTTCCAAGTGTGTAATGACACAATTACATTTTGATCATGCACTTGAATTGCAAAATATAAATGGAAAACATTGTTTTCATCAATGTACTGAATCAACGTTTTTGTTGATTCTATGCT